ACACAGATCCACTGATCCTTTAACACAGAGCGTCTTCAGAAGACAAGCTGATGAAGTAAATTTAAAAAATCTGTATTGTTTGATGTGTGTATTGAACCTAAAGCACTGTATTGAATGGTTCGATATGGGTACATGTATTGTTGCACCCCTATTGAACACATATCTTTACAATATAGCAGCATTTAGTAGTTGTGTTTTGAGATCCACCCAGTAAAACACAATTTCACAGGACCACATTTAAATAAGAGTAGTTTTGGAAATGATACAGTTTATTTAAGCMGATTTTTTACAAAAAAATAGTAAAACTTAAAAGGACAGATTTGGATTTCAGATTACAGCTTGTAGGAYGGACATACCTTCTCCATCCTCAGGGGCTTCCTCTTCATTACAGCTGGGTCCTGAACCCTCCATCTCCTCCTCCTCTGCAGTGTACGGAACACTGGCCTCCTCATTCTGGGAGGCTTTTCCCCTTCGACGGGCCTTTCGCTCTTTCTCCTGGGTCAAAACAAGCGCACACTTAAATAAAATAAGCCCTAGTGATAGTCACATTCCAAAGAAAACAAGAAATGATACTTTAGCACAGTGTCGCAGGAAAACCTGTAAAACTATACATTTTTATGTCAGCATTACATATAGCAGGTATGACTTGGCAAATTTTTATTTACTTACCGATTTCATTTTATGCTGCTGCAGAATCTCATCCAGTTTCTGCCTCTTCTTGTAGTTGAAGTAAAAGTTTTTGCACTGTGACACGGTTTTTGATCCCACCATCTTGGCGATGGCGGACCAATTCCTACCATACTGGAGAAGGCCTGGAAATAAGAAGTGGAGAGGYAGAGGGATTAGGAAAGAACAGGAACCAAGACGAGCACAGAAGCAGATCTGTGAACATGATATTCTATATGCAGCTGTAAACGTTGTGGTTTACACTACATAAAGTGCACTTGTTGAAGTGATGGGATGTTACTTCGTAAAGCATCAGCACAATCTCCAACTATAATCTCTAAATGTACTAAACGGAAATCTCCTCAAGGCAGAGTAAGTCTCACCTTCAGCAGGCAAAAACGTCTCTAAACAGCTGTCAAGTTTTATTCTTCCGGTAGCAGCATGACCTTACACTTCCTCAACACAGACAGCTACAGAGACAAAGAGTAAGAGCCAAAAAAAAAGGGAGGACTGGTGTGGTAGGTGGATGTCTGTCACACAAATGACATCACTAACCTCCGTCCTCTGGGGTCACTCTGTGTCATATTCTAACTGAATTTGATGTGACCCAATTCCAAGAAACCCAAGTCCTTTACCCAGCCAAGCACATGATTGTGTCTTACACAAGAGTCAACAGACACCCGCTGGGCCAGAGCTGTGATAGATCAACCTGTCAGGAAACACACACACACACACACACACACACACACACACACACACACACACACACACACACACACACACACACACACACACACACACCATCAAATCAAGTGAAATTTACAGTTTCATTTCCTATCATTATATTTATCTGTCAATTTGCCAAAAGGTAATGAGTGCAGGACAAGTGAAGGAAACAAAAAAGAGGACAAAGGAACAACAGTACACTCTTGTGGTGAGGAACAGGAGGCTACAGCTAAATCAAAGCTGATCAAACTCATTATGAAATGCTTGATACAAGTGGAATAATCATCTGTGCTCATTCACAGCCTGTTAATAGCTCGTCAAATACAATTTTGTTGCAATTTAATTATTGCATCCTGTTTCAAATTAGGCATTTAGAAAGCATAGAATCACAGATTTAAGTTGCCTTTTGTTAAGATGACAACACTGACTTACAATGGTTTTGATAAAAAAATAAATCTTGTCACAGTGTTTGCCTTTTCAAATTACAATATCAAGTGAGTCTTCATGAGCAGGTTTGTGGATTGTTATAATAATATGAGATATGACGTGTGTATTTGGTGGCGGAGCAAATCTAGACTAACCAAGCTCGTTGTTGAGTGGAGGCGTGGTGGTTTCCTCCCCTTCGCTGGTCATTGAGCGGGTAACCCGGCCTTTTCGACGGCCTTGGCTGTTGGCAGTACGTCTCCCTTTGACAGCCACAGTAGGCTCTTTGTCCTCTGCATCTTCTCCAGAAGTATCATCCCTTTTAAGAAAAATGTGAACAGTCAAAAAAGAAGAGAACAAAAGAAAAAATTGATGTCTGTTATTTTTGCTGTAGTCTGAAGCTAATGGTTACATAAACTTTATTACAGAAAATTACATCTATACCAGCAAAACCTAAACAATAGCATCCTAACAGGTCCACAGCAAAGAAAAGATAAACAAATAAGCAACTTTTTCATTAAGGTACTTGCAACAACAAAATCACTGCTCTGCAGTTAAATGTCACTAAAGAAAAACACGTTGCCCTTTGCATCCACTTTTTTGTAGACCAATAAGTGAGCTTGATGAATTAGAGTACTAATCAGCCAAAGGATCATGTTCTGGAAAATAAATTGGCCATGAGATGTAGATCCTAATTAGCAAAGACCTTACCTTTAGACATCATTATTTATTTTGTTTCATTTTCCTCAAAACTTCTCTAAAATACTGTTTTTTACAATAATGTGATGGATGGGTCAATCAACAGACAATCGTATGCCCTTTTGTTACAGTTGTGTTTATTATGGAGTAATTATAAAAAGTTTGCTGTGTGGTGATTAATAGACTTAAAGAACATATTATATTTCAAATCTGTTAATCCTGAAAACTAAATTCAAAGTTGAACTTAAACCACAACGTTCCTGTTGCTGCTTGTGTCAAACAACGCTTTGAATTCAGTACCAAAAGCCTTAGAGCAGACAAGTATTTTCTGGATTTGAAAAAGCTATACAATCCTGCAGAATAAGACAAAATGTGAACTTGAGCTGTAGGCCCACATTGTTCTTTCATTCTTTTTATTTTCAAGGATAATTTATTGTGTGTCAGCACAATGGCATGCCAGAAGATAGCCGTGGAGTTTGAACCTCCTGCTCTTTCATTCATCTTCCTCCCACTCTATTAATCTTGCTGTGGGGAGCTAGTAGCACTCTAAATATAGGCGAGCCAGCTGTGCCAGGGGTGACAGGCGGGCAGCGGAGTGTGCAAAGAGTCACAGAGTCCCCGAGCCCTGCTTCAGAACAGGGAAGCAGCCGGCAATGGTTTGTCATCTTTTTTTGTCTCCAACCCAGCTGCCTGTAAATATGAGCTGTAAATATGAGCTGACGTTGCTTTGAAACAACTGGGGTGTTCGGCCTCAGCTGACATCAAATAGTGCCTAAAGACATGTATAGACAGTTTATGTATTTTCAGGCAACAGAAAGCAGTGTTTTGTCTCTTTTGTTGGTACTTTGCCAAAAAAAAGTTTCATCTTGATTACTGCACCGCCCAGTCCCGGCACACAAACGCACACCTTTCACACACACAAACTTTTCAAACTGACAGCTGGTATAATTACACCACTTATTTCAACACTAAAACAACTGGAACACAGGTGCTTCCCTTTTTTTTTTTAATGAATGCAAAAAGACAAACAGGTATGTCAACAGAACGACCAAGAGCTCGATTTTCCTCCTGCTTCATTTCAACCAAAAAGCGTGCATGCTAAAACAAACAAACAAACTAGGTTCTGCCTCTTAAAATGTGTTGAATGTTAAAAAACATTTCACTCAGTTTAATCTAATTCTGTGCAACTGTCAGAAGAATTATCTTTGCAGCGATTTTAACAGCTCTAAAAATAAAAATAACTTACTTCATTCCATCTTCTTTCTCTTCAGCTTCATTTTTCTCCTCATCTCGCTCCCCCTCTTTCTCTTTTTCCTCCTTCTCCTTCTCCTCCTGGCTGCTTCTGCTCACTTGTTGTTGTTGCTGCTGTTGCTGCTGCTGCTGCTGGCCATGCTGAAGCAAAACACATAGGAACAATAATAAAACACTTAATTTCAAACATAATTAAAAATAACTGGAAGACACATTCATCTAAGCAATGTGTCCTGTAAATTGTGCATTTGGGCTTCCAGATTATTAAAGAAACAAGTTGTGATAAAGATTTGGAGTGTGGCAGAGGCAAATACACAGCCTGGCTGGCATGTTGTTGAGATAATCATCTTGCTGTTGTTTGAAAAACAAAAGAAAAAATAATTTACCATTTTGTTTGTTTGAAATACAACACACATTCTGCACACACTTTCTGCTGACGTAAAACAAAACAGGATCCGAAAGTCCTGAAATTATAGCAACACATTTCTGCTGTATAACTGCAGCTCATCAAGTACCCAGAACCACTTCCGTACCAGTTTCCTGCGTGTCTGGGCTTTCAGGGTGAGAGTTCACACTACTACACACACGCAGCCAAACCAAACAGCTTAAACGGATGACGATTAATTAGATGATAATCCATCAGGCATACTTTCTGCTCTATTTCATGTCTGCATTTTCTGCCTCTAAAAATAAAAAAGGACATTTTACACAGATCCTGCAGGTAAGTGAGCACAGGGGTGAGCAAGATAGCTGGAATGGGAATGAAATCTAAATGCATTTCTATTCAGAAGCTATCTGAGTCATTTACTATCACTGAGGGGCCCTTTCTTCCTTTGAAATTATTAATGCCCTCTTCCTCTCCTTTCAAAGGAACTCAACAGAGAACAAATGAGTCACACGGTCTTCTAGTCTCATATGACGCACAGATTTCAACCTTTTCAAAGGCAGAAGATCATTTGACTGACTGTGAATAGAGATCTGCAGTGTGTCTAAACAAGCTGGTTTAGAAGCAGCTCGTAGTGAAGTGCAGCTAAAAACGCTGCAAACTACCCAAATAGTAGTCATGACAATTTGCTCATTTTAATGTGTGGCACTGCACTTTCTGTTCCTCCTCTGTGAGGACACTCTTCTGTCACTGCAAGCTGACAGTTCAAGCATTTACTCAGATAAAATATGGGTTAATAATAATTTAATTTTCCTATACCAATCACTATTGCACGCCTTGTGAACTGCCTCGTGTTTAAAAACGACTGCTCATCAACAACAGTTTCCATGCTGTCCGACTAGATAAGAACCTGAGGTCCAACATAATTATTTTTTTCATACTTTGTCTTTAACAGCGGAGAATACCTGGCTTCTTCCTCGGCGTCTGATGTTCCTTCGTACTATGTTCTTGTAGTTTTCATTCTTTTTGGTCAAGTAGTAAAAGAGCACACACTCTGCCACCGTCTGAAGCAAAGAAAAGAAATGAGATGCGACGTTTCACTTTCTGTTAAGGCAGTTCACTTTAAAACCAGGAAATAAACAAACATAATAACATACCTTTCTCTCTAAAAATGATGCAATCAGGCCAAAGTTTTTGGGATGCTGGATGAACCTTTGGGAGAAGAAGAAATTTGAGTTAAAGTTTATTTAAATCTACAGCAATTTCAAAAGTCAAGTGTCCCTTTCTGTATTAAAAAAGACTGAAGTCACTAGAGAATGTGGTAAAATCTGAAGAAGAGACTAAAGCTCTTTGTATGCGAGTATCAAGTCACCAGTTTTACTGCAGACTTTGCTCTAAATGTTCTCTCTCCATTCTCAAAAAATGGGAAGATTCACTTCCTTATCACAACTCAGTGACCGTTTACCGTTAAATTTCATAGGGAACTACACATTATTGCTTATTATATTTGTTGTTTACAAAGAAGGCAACAGGTCACCTGCCCAGGTCTACAACAGCTGAATGTGGTGTTCAGCAGCAATAGAAATCTTCACACAGGCACTTATTTATTATGTAAATATATATGGCCTCAAGTATTTTGCTTACTTTTCTCTGAATGTGTCCTTCTCCTGCTCGCTCCACATGTTCATGACCTGCCGATCCTTGTAAACCTTCATGGGGTCATCCATTAATCCATTCATGTTGATGAACTTGATGCGCTGCTGCTCAGCGTCAAACAGCATAGGAGGGATGACTGCCAGCTGCCGCATCTGTTTCTCTGTGTTCTGATGAGCGCACGTGCCAGGAGAAAAGAAAGAAGCCAAAACTCTAAAGTAAATGGACTAGTCTCCAACAAACAATCATTGCGTCATAAAATAGTGTTCATACAGATGATCTGATGGTTTCCATGTTCTTCTGCAGTTTTGTGTATGTCAACCTTGAAATGGTGCAGACGTGTTAACCAAGGTTCTTTTGCATGACTTTTATCTATAATACTTAAAGATAGCCTATCATTCTTGTTGTTCACATATTAGTAGTTGTTGATACTGTAAGCAAAGCCATACATGGCCAATTTACTCTCCAAAACATTGTAATTAAAAAAACATCAGTACAAAAAGCATTACATGCATAAAATCTGATTACATTCATTTTCTTTTATACAACCAAAAGAACAATGAACAGTGAGAACTGCATTTGTATTTCACATTTCTTCTTACAACGTAAGCCTTAATTAAAACTGTCTTTTTGAGAATCGATACAGCATCATGAAAAGAAATGATGTAATATTTCAGTGGATCAATATTTTCTTACACCCCTAGTAAAAAAAAAACAAAGACTTGCTCAGATTTTCCTGTGTGGAATTTAGTTCAAACTCCAACAATTAGTATGGTTTGTTTAGAATGCATTTATTTTTTGTACATCCCAAATTAAACTACAGATGCCACTGTGCATGTCATCCAATTCTTTGTTGCTTAAGTAGGCTTTGAAATGCTTCCTGTCCAACGTCCAACTTCAAAAGGCAGAACTAGATGCTGATCCACAACAATTTACTTATTTAAATAAACCCAGCGAAGACAAAAAAACGAAGCTTAGCAAGCTTTCAACAGAGGACAGAGGATGGCAGTAAAGTAAAAATGTTGAGTTATTTAATTAGGAAGATCTAAAACATTTCATGAAATGGCAAGCACTATGATTGATCAAAAAGCTTGATGTTGATTCATTTCAATCAAACCGGGATCAGAGCTTTAGAAATAATTGAGCTTTTTAGGTGAAATTATTAGAATTTTCTGGACTCATTTAGCTTTATTTGATTTTCTAAATGTTATATGCAGGTAATATTTATTTAACCATTATTTAACCAAGCAAATCCCACTGGGATCAGTCTTTTTTCCAAGGAAGGCCTGGGCGTGAATGTAGTCTAAACGTGCATGTTTTTGGACTGTATGAGGAAAGAGGAGTACTGCTGTTCAGGCCAACATTTCTGTTCTTATTCACTCATTCACATTAATTAATAATTTATACATAATAATGTTGATAATTTGATGTATACAATGTAAAAAAAGAAGAATTTATGTTTATCCCCACCAGCATCACAAGACTTAAGATTTGGATAAAATGCCATCTCTCTGGTATGTATACTTCATTACAACCCAACATCCAAGTTCCTGTTCTGCAGAGGAAATTGAAATACCAGATGGTACCGCCAAAAACCATCTAGAGAAGAGCTGACCTCATTGATCTTCTTTCAGTTATTTTGAAAAGTTATCAAAAATGTCACCGCGGAGAGGTGTAGGGGCAAAGCAAATGTAACAGGAAGCGCCTACCTCATGCTCTGACAATCCATCAATGATTTCAGAGACTTCATGTTCACTGCGAGCTGCAGATGAGGTCAGTCCTCCTCCTCGCTGCCCGACACGACTGTGAAAGTAAAATTCAGAGAGTCTGTTATTTTAAACTACACACATAATGACTGAGCTACTTGTTTGGCAAAATAACAGAACTGTTCAGCAACAAACAATGTAACAAATATACTTATCAAGTTGACGGAAAGAAAACAACATAATCCCACCTCTGCATTCGCTCCTGCAGCTCTCTTTGCTTGCGGATTTCTGGGAACTGTTTTTCATAGTACTCCCGCACCTTGCTCTCTTTAGCTCGGCGCCGCGGGTTGTTTTCGATGCGCTCCACTTTCTTTTCCCAGGCCTCCATTAGCTGGTCATAGCGCTGGCAAAACTTCTGTTCCTGAAGGTTTGCAGAAAAGAGAAAAATCCCAGTCTGCTGCAGAGTCACCAAGAACATTCGCATAATCTCTTTTAGATTTGTTTTTGACCTGATGCTGCATAACTGATGGACCATTAAATCTGAAGAAGTGCAATTACTGATCACTGCTTGATGAGACGGGGAGGGTAACAGGCTACACTCACTATGAGAGCAAAGCCTAAAACCACAGGCCTGGAGGACGGCCGTCCACTGTTTTTTCTACCTTCTTCACAGACAGCCTTGTAAAGCAACCCATTAAATCTCAGAGGAGACATGACCCTCAGTGGGCTCATAAACCACAAGGAGATGTCTCCCCACATGAAGCTACCTCCCCGTCTTGGACACAAAGTGAATGAAAAGTAGACACTAACCTAGGATCCACAGAGTTTGATACAGGTGTTATATCTGAGCTATTCTTCCTGATATAAAAAAACTAAAAGTAATACTTGACCACACTGACTTGCAGCTTGAAGGTAGTAGGGAAAAGCAAAACAAACAACAAAAATCTGCTTGTGTTCTCTTTTTAATTATTCCCTACACGTGGATTCATGCAGATTTCAGAGTAGAGCTCTTGGCCTCATCTGTAAGGGTGATTTTCAATGATTTCTTCATTTTGAAGACATGTTTTTTTTT